GAAATGATTTTTACATTTTTTAATTGTTGAAAAAGAGTTAAAAAATAATATTTTGTGACAAATGTCAGTGTCCGTAAATAATGTACTGTTGGAACACATCTGTGCTCATTCATTGAGGTATTCTCTGTGGCTGCTTTCATGCTCCAATGGCCGAGTTAAGTCATTGTGACAGAGACCATATGGCCCACAAAGCCTGAAATATCTGATCCTTTACGGAAAATGTTTGCCAACCCTGGTCTATATGCCCCCATTCCTCCACCTCATCACTGGAATTTTTAAAAGCAAACTGTAGATGCCATACCATTTAATCCAACAATATTTCAGAATACAGCTCCAAAAGATAATGACTCTTTCTGAAAAACTTAGCCACAATATATGAATATGACTGAAAAAAAAAGAACAGTAGTTCTTTAATAGCATCAAATGTACAGTCATCGTATGGATGGAGGGGGACCTTTGACTCTGGGCAACATTTCCACTCTGGACTGCCCACCCTCTGCCATCTCAGTTCTGTCCACAAACACCAGGAGGGAAGCCAGGAGCCCTGCTGAGGAAGATCACATTTTCCCATTCTCTACTTGTGACAACTTGGGTAATTTTTTGAAATTGAGACAAATACCACTCAATGCATTTGGCAGCAAAAGTGGTCGGACATACATTGTAAACCTATGGTGTGAACGTATGTCATGGGCCTACATTGGCTTCTCCAGGGCTCACGGCATCAACTCTGAGCACCTCTACCTGGTTTCCAGGCGCTCCACACTCCTCTCCCTCTCCTCACATGCCTGGGCCTATACTTAACCATCGGATCTTTCCTTACTCCCGCAAGTCCTTCGGATGAGAATATCTAAGCCCCTTTCTCTGGTACCCACCGTGCTCACAGAACTTAGCCTCTTCACAGTTCTCCTCTGGCACACATGGGGTCACCATGGGGTCACCATGAGTCAGAACTGGCTCAGCGCCGACTGGTTTGGTGGTTTGGGTTTTGGTTTTGTAGTTTCAAAGACCACTGGCTCCAGAAGCCTTCTCAGACTTTGTAAACCAACAGGGATCTCTCCTCTCTCCGAATTCTGTTTGAATTTTCAGTGAGAGCCACACAGTTTCGTTTTTCAGAATTCTGAATCTAATACATTGCCAGTTTGACTTATAAGCTCTTTGAAGGAAGGACCAATATGTCCGTCAGCAGATGAATGAATGAACAAACAAAATGTGGTATACACACAGTGGGATGCTCTTCAGCCATAAAGAGAAATGAAGTCATGATCCACGCTACAGCATGGATGAACCTTGAAACATCACACTGAGCAAAATAAGTCAGTCGCAAAAGGACAAATACTATATGATCTCACTTATATGCAATAAGCAAATACATACAAACCAAAGTTTATTAATGGCTACCGGGGTGGGAGGGATGGAGAAAGGGGAGTTTTTGCTTAGGTGGCATTGAGTTTATGTTAATGGTGGTGGAATAATTTGGAAAGGGATGGTGAGAATGGTTGTACAACTTGAAGAATGTAATCAGTGTCACCGAATACAAGTAGAAATGGTTGAATTGGCATATGTTCTGTTGTGTATATTTTCACCACAACTGTGCTAGTGACTTGAAGTTTCAGAACTCTAGACCTTTTGACTCTTCTTTCCCCCACCGCACCTTGAAATGACTTGGAAGTTTGAAGATGACATCATAGATATCTGCTTGGAGATCCTGAACAAGAGCCTGTACTTCTTAAAGAACCCGTCCAAAGACCACTCCCAGTGGAATGATGTGGTGTACGTCTGCAGGGTGGTGAGCGCCATAGTAAGGAGCGAGGCTTCCCCTCCCTGTCTGAGGACAGTCCGCGCTTCCCCGGGACACTGTGGACACCCACCTGTCTGCCCTTTCAGATCAACAGTATCGACGACAACGGCGTGCTGCAGGGGAACTGGGGGCAGGACTACTCCAAGGGGTCAGCCCCCTGGAGTGGAACGGCAGTGTGGCCATCCTGCGGCGGTGGTCGGCCCAGGGTGGGCAGCCTGTGCAGTACGGACAGTGCAGGGTCTTTGCAGCCGTTATGTGCGCTGGTGAGTGAAGGGAGACGGGAAGCGCCTCCTTGAGTGGTCACCCATTTCATCCTCATAACCCTTTGAGGTTGGGGTGGATAGGGGTGGGTGCTGCAGCTTTTAACCAGTGCACTGTGCCATCTTGGGGAATGCCGCCCATTTATATGGGGAGGGGGCAGGTCGACCTGTTGCAAACACTTTGGCAGACTGCTTGATGGAGCAGCTGTTGTTAAGTGCTGTGAGTTGGCCCCTGACTCATGGGGTCCCAAGCACAATGGAATGAAACACTGCCTTGCCCTCTGCCATCCCCATTATCGGTTATGGATTGAACTATTGTGATCCATAGGGTTTTTGCTGGCTAATTTTTGGAAGTAGATCACCAGGCCTTTCTTCCTAGTTCTTCCTAGTCTGGAAGCTCAGCTGAAACCTGTTCAGCGTCATAGCGACACCCAAGTTTCCGCTGACAGATGGGTGACGGCTGCACTCGAGGTGCAATGGCTGAGAATCTAACCCGGGTCTTCCTCGTGGAAGGAGAGAATTCTACCATTGAACCACCACTGCCTCGATGGAGCAGTTAGTCTGTTAAAATGATCACCTGGCAGGAGGAGCCTGTGGTTCCAAAGCTGGAGGCCAGACGGCTTCTCTCTGCTTCCTGCTCGGACTTCTCAGTTCTGTGTGAGCCTGGAGTCGGGGACGGGGGCGGGGAAGCTGGAGATACAGGCAAACAGTCTGGGATGGCCTGAGCTCACCGGTAGGCAGAGCTGGCAGCCTCCAAAATGCTTCCCTGAGAGATTCTGGAAGAGTCACAATTAGACATTTGCTACTTTGCTAACTGTTCTTAAGGAGCATCAATGTTCTATGCATTATCAATTATTTACAAGTTAGTGCAAAGTCCTTGACCAGACTATCTGTGAAGAGGAGAGAAAGACAGAGTCCTGAGGGTGCCTGGCTGTCTTCCCCTGCAAGGCCAGGGGCAGGGCTTTCATCTTTATCTTTATATTTACCCTGGTGCCTTACACAAAGGAGCCCTGATGGCACAGTGGTTAAGGATTCCACGAAGTTCAGCAGTTCGAACCTGCCAGCCACTCCGCGGGAGAAAGATATGGCAGTCTGCTCCCGTAAAGATTTACAGCGTTGGAAACCCTCTGGGGCAGTTCCACTCTGTCCTCCAGGGTCACTATGAGTCGGAATCAGGTCAATGCCTTACACAGTGCTGCCTGTTGCAATGTGGTGCTTAATACATGTTTCCTGAGCTAACAGGTGGACTCCGAGTCAGAAAAAGGGGAAGCATGAAACCAGGAGGACAAGGACAGGGCCAAAAACAAAGTTCTAGACTTTTCTGAGAGGGGCAGTATATGTGCAGGTGCTGTAGACAGAGAAGAGGCTAAGCCTGAGTCTTCCAATCGGGTAACGGCATTTGTGAAACGGAGCCGAGGCTATTCGGGCCCTGGAAAGTTCTCAGCACGGCACTCACTAGTATTCTCAGTTTTGCCTTGGCCTGGGAAGTCCCTGTGCAGTGGCTGGTCAAGTGCTGTGGCAGAGGCCTGGGCCTTTAGACCCGGGGGTGAGAGGAAGAAAGACCAGGCCTGGGTCCTTGCTCCACGTCTGCACCCCTCCCTACTTCCAGGCCTAGAGTTCTGGCACCCGCTCACCCAGTGGTGGTTTGGGCCTGGGCCTCGGCCTTTTGCAGCCTGGTCTAGCTCCCCCCACCACCAGGGTCTGTGAGAAAGCTGTGGCTGGGACTGGAGAGATGATTGCAGACAGGTGGCCCCTTTTAGGGCTCTTCAGTGAATTGAAACAAAAAGATTGGTCACTTTCACCAGTCCTACCTTTCAAAGCCTTGTAACCCTCCCAGCCACCTCCGCGGTCACCCTCAGCTCCTCCTGGGCAGAACGAGCGGTAGGATAAACCTCTCTGAACACCTCGCCTCACCAGCAGAGGTGGGGACCTTTGTTCTAAAGGCCACACCTGACTTCTTGGCTTGATTTCAACTGTTCCTGGGAAGGTGTGTGTGTATTGGTGAGTGATGTCTGCTTTATGAGACTGCCAGTTACCAGCGGAGTGGATTCCAGTGGATTTCCAGGAAATCTGTGTTAAGAGGGCTTTGTAGCACTATTCTAAAAGGCCACGAGAGGGCGCTGCTGCTTTATCAAAGATGGTCCTGCACTTCTTGGACACCCAGTTTCCTTGTCTCTGCGATAATGTCTTCTCCACTACCTCTCTGAGGGTATATCTTGCCTTTCTTTTCATGTTCTGATTTCTCTATTACCTCCCCTCAACCCTTATTTTTAAGTATAATTACAGATCCATACTTTCAGAAGTCAAAATCATCTGGTCCAACCCTTTATTTTGTTACATACAAGGAGACTGAGGCTCAGAGAAGTTAAGCCACTTACCTAAAGTCGCACAGCTTCTCTTCTGAAACTGGCCACAGGATAGGCTTAAGTTTTTGCTTTTATTTTTAATTATCAAGTGTTTTAGCTTCTCTGTTTTTAATTTGAAAAGTCCTAAATGACAAGTTGAGCTCTTGCTATTGTTGTTTTAAGTGACTCTTAAAAGATTTCATTCTCCTTGTCTGGTGGAGACCCTGGGCAGGGCAGATCGGTGGCAGGGGTCTGGGCTTGGGTGTGGTGTTCTGGGGATAAAAGAGTCACAAGTGTGGATCTGCAAGTATCTTAGGTTTCTTTCTCTCCTTCAACTTGAGAGTTAGAACGTAGGCACAGGAAACCAATGATTCTGCTTGAAACAAACCCGGTGATTTTCCACCCCCTTCTTTCTCTTTAGTAATGAGATGCTTAGGTGTTCCAACCCGCATCGTTTCCAATTTCCGGTCTGTGCACAACATGGATGGGACCCTGACCATCGACACCTACTGTGACCAAAATGCAGAGATGCTGCCAACTCAGAGACCAGACAAAATATGGTAGGGGGCACTGTCTCAGGCCAGGTCTCTGCCCTACCCCAGGTAGGCCAGGAAAACTTTGACCTGGGCCTCTCTGGCCTTTGAGGTGGTACTACCCTCTGTACATCGCTGCTGTTGATCAGAGAATAATTCGCCAAACTAGGAGGCTGCTCTGGTTAATTAGATCATCAAATCAAACTCATTTCAAAGACAGAAGACTAGGGGATACTATTCTGAAGCCAGTGACCAAGTAAATATACTGTGAATCTTCTGAACACAGAACTCACCATCTATATTCATATTACTCTTCTTTCTCCCAGTCTTTCTGTCCCTGGCATTCTGTTTCCCCATCAGGGGCAGAACCTGGACTTGCTACCTCTGTATCTCTTCCCGTCTCTGAGCGTGTGTGTGTCCCTTTATTTTGTATCTCTGCTCCTGCTCTGGTTTCTTTCTCCTTCTCTGCTCTATCCCAAATCTCGTTCCCTGTTTTTTCTTTTCCAGCCAGTTTCTAGGCAAGCCCTTCGAGTTACATGAGAACTAACCGCTATAAAGGACATTATTAGTTCAACTGGCAACACTGAGATACAGGCAATTAGATCGAAGTATTGTATCACTATTAAATTTACTGAGGTTGCTGCCTGTGCATGGGTTATACAAAAGAAGATCCCTAGTCTTAGGAAATACACACTGAAGTATTTAGGGATAAAGGGCCTTGATGATTTCAACTTGCTCTTCAATAGTTCAGAAAAAAAAAAGTCCATATCCATATCTATATAAAAAAAAAAAAAAACAAATGGAGTAAAATGTTAGCAATAGGTGAACTGGGTATATGGGTGTTCTTTGTACTATTCTTGCGACTTGACTGTAAGCTTGAAATGATTTCTAAATGAAAGTAAGTGGAAAGAGGCAACGAAGCAGAGCACCCAGTAGAGTGTCTGGAAAACCCTCAGAAAATGTCAGTGCTTGTCTCTGTATTCCCTTTGGCAGGGATTTCCACATCTGGAACGAGTGCTGGACGATCCAGAAAGATCTCCCGCCAGGATACAACGGGTGGCAGGTTCTGGACCCCACTCCCCAGCAAACCAGCAGTGGTGAGTGAAGGCACTGCAGAAGGCCTAGGCTCCGTGGGGAGGCTGATAAGGGTGAATGGCCATGAGCGCAAGAATCCCCTCCCTATGGCCCCTCACTGCCCCACCTCCTTACCTCACACAGCCACAACCAGCTGCCCCTCTCAGGTAGCAGCCATGTCCCACAGCTCTTGTTCCGTCCACAGGGCTGTTCTGCTGCGGCCCTGCCTCTGTGAAGGCCATCAGGGAAGGGGAGGTCCACCTTGCCTATGACCCCCCGTTTGTGTATGCCGAGGTGAATGCCGATGAAGTCATTTGGCTCCTTGGGGATGGCCAGGCCCAGGAAATCCATCGGGAAGGAAATCAGCACCAAGACGATAGGGTCAGACGAGCATCAGAACATCACCAGGTCCTACAGGTACCCGGAAGGTGCCTGGGGCCCCTGGGACTCTGGGAGGTCACCTTCTTTGTGCTGCCTCCCAGCTGGGATGGCTTCCAGGTTACAACCATCACCACATAGCCACCTCCTCTCCTTACAGCAGACTTCCAGGAGATTTAGCAAATAAAAATACAAGATGCCCAGGTAAATTTGAATTTCCAATAAATTTCGATCAATGAACAATTTTTTAGTGTAAATATGTCCCAAACATTGCATGGACATGCTTATACTAAAAAGTATTAATTGTTTATCTGAAATTCAGATTTAAAACTGGGTGTAATTTTTAGTATAAGTATGTCTCAAATATTGCATACGATGGACTTACACTGAAAATTATCCATTGTTTATCTGAAACGCAAGTTTACCTGGACAGCCTGTGTTTTATCTAGTAACCCTATTCTAGAGTCACACCTGTGTCCATGGCAGTGGGGGTGGCAGGAAGGGGGGAGATGGATGCTCAAGGACAGAAAGGACACTGGGCCCATGGAAGCGAGTGGATGTCCTGGGAGGGGGCCAGGATGGAGTCAGGCTGCTGGAGGACTAGCTGTGTAAAGCTGGACACCTTCTTAGCCTCTTTGTGCCTCCACTTTCTCATATGCAAAGTGGGATAACAGTGGTAGCAGCTACCTCAGAGGGTTGTTGTGAGGGCTAACTGAGTTTATACATAGAAAGCACCTGGAACAGTACCTCTGGCACATAGTACCTGCTCTAGGGAAGTTCACACTTTGGGTAGATTTAGGTTAAGCCTGTATGTTAAGTAGCTCCCAAGCGCAAGACGTAAACCTCTGTTTAAAAGGCTTGAGTGTATATTTCAGAAGTGAGGCCGTTGGTGGGGGAGAGAAGCCTTTGGCTCTGATAACAATGATAGTGATGCCAATGATGATATTGAAGACAGTATCATGCTGATTGCCTTCTATTCAACAATGTATTTAATCCATTTTTGTGGCAACTCTGTGAGGTGAGCAGGTATATTTCCTGTGTTACAGATGACAGAACTAAATGCTAAGAGATTAGGGAACTGTGATAGTGCAAGGATTTGAACTCAGAACTGAGCAACACCAAGCTCATGTTCTCAGCCACGATGCTGTATTGCTTCCCTACCTGCACTTCGTGTGGTCAGGGCTTTGGGAGGGGACTTGGGAGTTGCGGGGTAGCTTGTTACCTGAAGAAGTTCACTGATCTGTTTGACTCCTCCCCACCAATGTCCTCTGGGCCCTCTTCTCCCCCAGGATCCCCTGAGGAGCGGTCTGTATTCATGAAGGCCTCCCGGAGCATGCTGGGCCAAACAAGGGCCTCCTCACCCTTCCTGGATCTGCTGGGGTCCAGCGGCGTGGAGAATCAGCTGGCACAGCTGCACCTCCACCTGGCCAGGACGCCGGAGTGGGGCCAGGACCTGCTGCTGACGCTGTGTGCCTGGAGGGTACCAGACAGAGCCCACCCCCAGGGCCCCATCCGGCTGGTGCTGCGCTTCTGTGCACAGCTGCATGGGAGAGGCACACAGGAGCCCCTCTGGAGACAAGAGGTGTGCTTGAACCTGGACTTTGGGCAGGGTGAGTGTGGGCCAGGCCTGGGACAGCACAAGACAGGGGTAGCTTTGGGGTCGAGAACAAATCTGGGCTGGACCCACATGGTCACCCAGGAGCACTGCCGCCTACACACTCCCACACTCACAATCATACACACACACACACATACACACACACACACACACATACCCACCCCAAACAGTGAAGCTGCTGTTGGCTGGAGGTCGAATGCCAGATGCTATATTTCTGATGCCATCCCGCCAGGTGAAACAGAGCAGTGACCTCTGGGCAGTCTGTGCAGGCTAATCTCTCTCTCACATACGCACACAAACATGCACACACACATATGTTCTTACAGAGCAGTGACTTCTGGGCAGTCTGTGCAGGGTAATCTCTCTCTCTCTCT